TTCCAGCCCAGAGACGAGGGGGGCTACTTCTACTTTGGTAATGACATTTGACAGCACATAAATCTAGTCTGGAAACAATAGAGTGATTCAGTGTGCTTTTGTACTTCTATTTTTTGCAAACATTATACTGCATCCTATGTGGGCAGATGGTCACATGAAGAGTTCTGGAAAACTGTTACTGTATTTTCTACCTCATACGGTGGTAATGATGTGGCGTGTCTGTGGTTTCAATGACTTCACTGGTCACTCTTTCGATTTCCACGCTGGCTCTGAGTTTCTGTTTTACTTTAAGTGATATTAGACCCCACCCTTTCACTTTTGAATGAGGCAGTTTTTGGCTGAGCAACCACAGACAGGATTTTGCTGTGGTCCAGAAGTCCACCTTCAACCTACGTGTTTTCTAAAGTATCGTACGAGAAACCGCCATTAGTGGTGCTCCAAAAACACATGAAAAGACAAGCATTATATCGTATGTTCAAGAGGTTGTCCAGTGAAAAGGTGTCTGTGTTTTGCAGTGAAGGAAAATCCTCTGCTGACCCTCCTCTGAGAAGGAGGGACAGACCTACAAGAGAGGATAAATAAATCAGAGCCTGTAAACTAAACTCGACACTGCCCTCTGCTGGCGTCGGTTAACCTCCTACATCACAGTTGTTGTATATAATGGTGTGTCCTTCTGATGACAATTATAGCAGATATAATTGATTTTAATGTTACCCTCCAAAAAAAACCAAAAGTAAGATAGAAATGGCTTGTTATGGACTCTGTTTTATTTTTTACCCAACCCAATTTTAAAAATATTTGATTACATTCGTGTGTTATATATTCCTCACTCATCACAGAGGAGATGATTTCTATTTGCACTTAGCACGGTTGTCATTCCCAAATCCCAGCGTGTCCGGGCACAGTGTGAGTAATTTGCTGCGGAGCTTTGCAGTGAGGTGAACAGGAACCTGGCAGGGCTGATGGCTAATGGGATTTAGACTCACGCTAACACTCTGCATGCACCCGTGCAAATCCATGAAGAGGAGCGTTTCTATATGAGGTGACAAAGTAATCTGTCACCCATGGCAACGGCTCATTTTCAGCAGCTGCTTTTGGCACTCTGGTCCCATTGCGCCCCTCCCTAAAACAACTGCTAATTGTGCTGTTTTCATAGCAGGGATTTAAGTCAAATCTTTGATCCATGTTTAGTGTGCTTTGCAAAAACATACAGACGCCAGCTACAGTTCTTAATTAACCCTCCTGTTGATTTGCTTATTTTTAATCTGAAATCGGTTCCTTTAATCTCCTGCGAATTCATTATGAAGTGAGTGCTTGTCTCTTTCTCTGTTTGCCCAGGTGAGCTGCCTCTCTCTCTGGCTGCATGCACTAACCAGCCTAACATAGTGCACTACCTGACTGAGAATCCACACAAGCAGGCCGACCTGCGGCGCCAGGATTCACGTGGCAACACGGTGCTGCATGCCCTAGTGCACATTGCGGACAACACCAAGGACAACACACGTTTCCTCACAAAGATGTACGACCTGCTGCTAATTAAGAGTGCCAAGCTCTACCCAGACTGCAGCCTGGAGACAGTGCTCAACAACGATGGCATGTCACCTCTTATGATGGCCGCCAAGCTGGGCAAGATAGGGGTAGGGATAATGATACATCATCAACCAGCATCAGCATAATAAAAGTTTTCATCATCACATTTCTACAGGCCATAAAGTTAAAGTCACAGCTTCTCCATATTCCTCCAGGTTTTTCAGCACATTATTCGACGGGAGATCAAAGATGAGGAAGTTCGTCATCTGTCCCGGAAGTTTAAGGACTGGGCTTATGGGCCGGTGTACTCCTCCCTCTATGATCTGTCTTCACTGGATACATGTGGCGAGGAACCGTCTGTGCTGGAAATCCTTGTCTACAACAGTCGCAATGAGGTGAATAAGAAAATGTTGTCATTCCAACTATTAAAAAAAAATACAGCGGAAATTAAATACTCTAGTATTACACACATCAGAAATTGAGTATTAAAAGGAACAAAACATGAAAACGTGTATGGGTGCATCAAAATCCTGAGTCTGTGCATGTCTTGATTTTATTTTATTTTTTATTACATTATATTTATCAGTGTCATGTTTCTGGTCCTGTTGTCAGAACCGCCATGAGATGCTGGCAGTGGAGCCCATCAATGAGCTGTTGAGGGCCAAATGGCAGAAGTTTGCTGCTGTCACATTTTACATCAGTGTGGTTTCCTACCTCATCACCATGATCATCTTCACCCTAGTGGCTTATTACCAACCATCACAGGGAATGGTGGGTGTGAAACTACTGAAAATGTAGACACAGCATTGGCAGAGTAAATGGGAACTGATCAATGATTCATGATGATGAAAAATTGTTGAGTGCGTCCATGTAGCACAGAATTTTCAGTACACCACATGAACATATTTTTACCATAGCAAGTATTTAACTTTGTGTTTTGCTATGTTCTGGGTTTTGTATGTAGGCCACATGTGCTGTACATTACTGTTTGCACAATGTATGTGAAATGTGAATGCATCGTGTACCAAAACAGCAAATTTGTATTCCCAATTTGTACACTTACTATACATTTCTAGCTTTATTGTTTATGAACAGGTATTAGATAGATCTTCTCATCTATCTCTTGGCAAGGCAGTAAATAGGTGTATTTCCCAAAATATCAAATTAATCCTTAACTCCCAACAGATCTCGATATGGTGTATTTTTGTGTATATATTATGTTTTAGTGCTAAAACGATCAGATTGAGTTAAATCTAAATGAAATTAACGTCATCGATAAGTCTCGTCTTCCTTCTTTGCAGCCTCCGTACCCATACACAACATCCGCTGACTACCTGCGAATGGCGGGAGAGATTGTCACCTTGGCATCGGGAATCTTCTTCTTCCTCACCAATGTGAGTACATACACTCTGGAGCCTCTTTATGGTTTGATCATTGGTTGCTCACTTCTCCCAGGCTCTTGCATCAAAGTCAAACATGTATCCTGTAATGTTGTTGTGATCACGGAAATGTTTCTTCTACTCTTTGCAGATTAAGGACCTCTTCTTGAAAAAGTGCCCCGGGGTGAAGTCTTTATTTTTTGATGGATCCTTTCAACTGCTGTAGTAAGTCTCCATCCTCCGTCCTTGCTCCCCCCTCTTTACCTCTGCCGAAGCTCTTGCTGACTTTTGCCCGAGGCAAATTTAGCATCCTCTTAATTGAGTCATCTAATTAATTCCTCAACCTCCTCACTGGCATGTTTTTATAGTTTACATCTTTAATTAGACTCATGATACAAACAAAGAGCAGAGAATGTCGAGCAATTCTCTGAACCGTGTGGATTTAAATCATTAGCAACATGGCTGTGATGTCTACATTCTGTTAAAAATGCTAAATGCCGGCAATCACATCTTCCTACCTTCATGTATCACTTCATTTAGCACTGGAACTAGTTCCTTGACAAACCTTTTCTCTTTTCTCTCTAGCTTCATCTACTCTGTGCTGGTTATAGTCACCGCTGCTCTCTACCTGTCTGGCATTCAGGCCTATGTTTCTGTGATGGTGTTTGCACTTGTCCTGGGCTGGATGAACACTCTTTACTTCACCAGAGGCCTGAAGCTTACTGGCACATACAGCATCATGATACAGAAGGTTAGATGATGGGGGAAATGATTTGACCTTAAACTTCACCATCCTTGTGTTTAACACGCTTTTATGTTTGGTTCTCAGATTCTTTTCAAAGACCTTTTCAGATTTCTTCTGGTGTATGTGCTCTTCATGATTGGATATGCATCAGGTAGGCTTGTGGTTAACTAGCTTAACAGTAATATCGCAGCGTTAGCCTACTTATTGGGACAGTTTGACATTTTGGGAAATATACTCATTCGCTCTTTTGCCAACAGTTATATATAAGGAGAGCTATCATATCTGTCAATTGCTGTAAATATAAAGCTACAGCCAGGAGATAGTAAGCTTAGCTTAGCATAAAGCAATTTCCATTTTTTATGCTAAGCTAACTGTTAATTAAAGCTAACTGTGTGTTTTCCCCGGCTCCTATCCTGGTTTTGTCTAAAGGTAAAACAAAGTTGCCTACTAATACCTTTCAAGTTTACTACTACTTGACATGTTATTTATGTTTGATCAGTACAAAAACTACAGTGTAAAATTGTTAAGTTGTGGTTTCACAGGGGTTTGTGTGTCTGACAATTTCCCCCTGCTTCCAGTCTTTATGCTAAGCTAACCATCTCCTAGCTGTAGCTTCATATTCTCTTCATCTAACTTTCTGCAAGAAAGTGAATAAGCATATTTTCCAAAATGTCAAACTATTTATTACCTTTAAGTGTTCACAGACTCATAACCCAACCTTCTTGGTTTCCACCCCACAGCCCTGGTGTCACTGCTGACAGTGTGTCCTCCACCGGGCACAGAGTGTATTGGAGGCTGCCCCACTTACCCCAAGTGCCGGGACCAAAACACCTTCAGTACTTTCCTACTTGACCTCTTTGAGCTGACCATTGGGATGGGAGATCTGGGAATGATCCAAAGTGCACAGTATCCTGAAGTGTTCCTCATCCTGTTGGTTACCTACATCATCCTCACCTTTGTGCTGCTGCTGAACATGTTGATCGCTTTGATGGGGCAGACAGTGGGACAGGTGTCGAAGGAGAGCAAGAAGATCTGGAAGCTTCAGGTGATGTTGAAGTAACTGTGGGCAGTGTTAGCAAAATATGTTCCAATGCTCTAAAGGATTGGTTTTCCCAAATTATGAAAATGTCTCAAAAGTATGTCTCATTACCTTGTGTGGTATCTAGTCATGCAGATAGTTTTGATTTAATGTTCTCCAGTTTTGAGATATCCGACTTTGAGATGTCTGTGTCCACTCCAACACATAGGAGGGGTTTTGAAAATTACATTTTCATTCAGCCACGCTCTGTGAAGCTTTGTGTTAAACGCTAAAATCAGCATGCTAACTTGCTCACAAGGACAATGCTAACCTGCTAATATTAGCAGATCTAATATATATTTACCATGTTAACCATATCAAGCTTAGCCGTGTTAGCATGTTAACATTTGCCACCTAGCTCTGAACCAAGAGGGAACTGGAATGCCATTATTGTTATTCTCTGTGTTTGGTCATGAAACAAAGTCCATCCATCCATCCATCGTCAACTGCTTATCCTGCGTACAGGGTTGCGGGGGCTGGAGCCAATCCCAGCTGACATCGGGCGATGAAACAAAGTATCAGACAAATTAAAGTTTTGACCGAATGATGGAGTTAAACAAAAACTTGGGTGATTCATCCTTAAGGGCACAATCCATTTAATTGAAATATATTTTCCTTAAGAGCACGAATGTCAACCTGAAGGTAGCAGTAGAAAAAAAGTTAGGGAATCACCAAAGTTATCAGGATTCATCTTTTAGGCAACATGGATATCTTTACCAAATTTCATGGCAATCCATCCAGAAGTTGTTGGAAGTTGTTTTTATTTTCAGAGATTAAATCATGGCTGAGGAAATATATTTTTGTTATTTGAGTGGTTTCAGTATTCTAATTAAATGTGTTTACATAATGTATAATAACAGTGGGCAACAACCATCTTGGACATCGAGCGTTCTTTCCCAGTCTGCCTTCGCAAGTCTTTTCGAGCCGGGGAGATGGTGACTGTGGGGAGGAACTGTGATGGCACACCTGACCGACGCTGGTGCTTCAGGTATTTTACACGAGTTATAGTCGTAGTCACTTTGAAGAAAACCGTCAATCCCAACGGTGTCTTGTGATATCAGAGTGGATGAGGTGAACTGGTGCCACTGGAATCAGAACATGGCGATAATCAATGAGGATCCCGGCAAGAATGAGACCTGCCAAGCCAATGGGTTGCAGCAGAGTGTCCGAGGCTTGAGGAGAGGTGAGAGTTTTTACTGCACTCTCATGAATAAATGCATACACAAATAAGTATCTATTCATAAGAACCACACTCTAACTTATTCATACAGATAAAAGAAAATCCTTCTTCTTTTTATCCCCCTCCAGACCGCTGGTCCACAGTTGTCCCGCGGGCGGTGGAGTTAAGTAAGGGTTCACGTCCTAGTGATCTGGCGATAGAAATGGAGCCGCTGACGCCCAATTGATGTCTTATCAAGAGACAGCAGAGAATAATCAGCATCAGTGAGATCACTCTGCATGGGACAATTTAGCTAATAAGTGTACTAATTTGCACAGATCTCATGTGCCTTTTGTTCAGAGAAAGTATAGTCAGTATTACAGTAAGACTGTCAGTGTAATAGGAGAGAGGACTGAGCACACATAGACACTGGATGTACAATGTCTTAAAGAATCCCTGATCTGAAAAACACCAAATAGAGTTAAAAACACTAACCCTGGAAAAAAATGAATGACGTAGTAGCTGTAATTTGTTCATTTGTTTTCTTGCTTGTCACATAAGAATAGAAGACTTATTATACAAATGTCCTGTACCTCTGCATTTCAGTCATCAGTGGCTGCTCACTCAGGGATTTAAGAGAGTCAAAATATTCAGCATTTCCAATCTCATAGTGTTACAGAATCATCGGTTCTCTAATAGCTAGCAGAACCATAATTACTGCATTAGCAGTGTAAACAAAGGCTTTGTTGGAAATGAAATCAGATGTAATCACAATGGGAGATATTTCTTCAAGAAAACATTGCAATAAATATTCATAGACTTATAGAATATAAGACATAATAGAATCAGTTTTTATTTGATTGCTTTATATTTAAGAGATCCCTTTATGATGTATCATAAAGATTATATTGTATATGCTAATTTTAATTGTTCAGGCTATGGAAGTTCAGTGTATAGAAACTAAATGTGTGTATTTTATAAAGTATATTTTACCCATTTCCCATTTTCTATACTGTATTAATCAAATAGTTTTTAAACTATGGAAGTCTCTGGCTGGGACTGCCAGCTCAGGCAGCACAGCTTTTATTTGAACTGAAACAATGCGCTATGCCAATTTCTGATGTGTGCATTATTATATGAACACAAAGACATTGTTCTGAATAAGATGGGCATGATGAGCAGGTTATAGTTGTCAAGCAAATATGCAAATGCAAGACAATAGCCTCCCGTGTTATGGTTTGTCTTTGAATTTCCAGAGTTATTGTTCCTTTGCAGCTGGGGTATTTGCATAATCAACTCTCAGGTCTTGCCATTATGTGCTTCTCCCTGTTTTGCTGCTGTATTTTCATTGCAATTGGCTCCTTGCCCTATATAGCATCATGCTTATGGGCAACTGCTGTATGTATGCATGTATTTGTGTTATTGTACTATATGACAGGGTTTGATTAAGAGCAGATAGACCATACAATTCATTTTCACTGATTCATTTCCGTTGAAGGTCACAGGTTATTCTCTATGTTTTACATTGCTTTTATAAAGAAACATGTCTATGCATTTCTGTATTGTTTGTACATTACTGCAGAACAATAAACAATTATTTCATAAACCATGTTAGTAAGTCTTGCAATTCAGTGCCTGGGTGATTGACTGAATTACGTTATCCTAGAATATTTCCTACTAATAAGCCATCAGCCAGAAATCATTGCATTATTTAATCATGGAAGCTCTCTGAATAGACACCAATGTCCTGTTTGAATTTATAAGGAAAGGTAAAATGTTAAAAACACATTTGGGGAAGTGCTGAAAACATTACCCATCAAAAAAAAAGAAATAATTATTTCATATGGAAAATGTGAGATTTTGTGGTTTTTAATCTGGTTTTGCATTCTGTTTCTGTTTGTGTTTTAACAAGAGATATTTGGAAACTTTTAAATATCTACATTTATGTTCATAAAATCTCACTGTTATAACAATTAAACAATAATATTATTATTTTCATTAAAACTAAAATTTTAAGGGTGTAAAAAAATGTGTTCTTGATTTTCAGTTCTTTTTTTTTTTTTTACAAACTGTACCTTCATTACACTCCACATTAATCCCAAATTGTCCAAAAATCATTACAAAGATTTTGCATCCTGTTCAGTCTTCATTTGTAAATTATCATTTGCAATTCTTTCTCTGGCCTGCTGATGGCTGCAGAGATCTAATTCCTCTGCGGTGTTGCATGAAGAGATTCAAGCTGAGGCAGACAAGTGTTAGTGTATACTCATGCAGTTGTTGTCAGGCACAAATCTTTTTTTAAATTATAGTTTTAAATATTGCACTGTCAGGGCTAACTGTTATTACTATAATAGGTTGTGTCATGTAGAATGCAGTCCACTTGAAATGAAATATTTTTTCCTATGGATCTCAGGTCTTGTTGACCTCGCTGTAACACCCGGCCAGTAATTATGGGCTTTTGCCTTCCTAATGAAACCACAAGCTGGCAACAATTTATGAACTGCTTCATTTCATTTCACCTTTCATAATTACACCTCACCTTTCCTTTTCCTCTTTAAAATGTTACAGTGTTGATTCTCACTCATGATAACTAGGGCCTCACCCCTCACCTCCCTTCCTCCTGTGCCTCCTCCTCCTCCTCCTCATCTCTCCCCTCTCTGAGGCCGGCAGCGCTGAAGGACACAGGGAATCTCTCACCACCTCAGAGAAGAGGCTAATCCTCTTTGCCCCAACTTTAACTGGGCCACTAATCCTCCAGGTTTATCTAAGCAGTGAGCACCTAGCGCTGCTGACAACTTGGCCTGCCCTCCTCCCTGCAGCCTGTTAAGTAGGGCAGGGCTTGGTCCTGCAAGTGTCACTGTCAGCAACTCTGGAACCGCACACTTGCACAGGAAGTGTGAGCTGTTAACAAAATGGCTCACTTGCTTGCAGCATGTGTGTGCTCGCTGCCACAAATGTGTCTCAGCGAACCAAATGACAGCCAAGTAGGATCATGTTGTAATGGCCCTCAATTAGTAACTGCAAATAAGGGAAAGTTGACAGTCTCAGCCAAAGGTAACTAGCTTAGATATTGGCAGTACAAACTGTTCAGCTATTGTCCAGCCAGTTAAGCTTTAAGGTGTTTAGGCTGATCAGTCCCAAGCGGATACTGGACTGGACTTGGGCCAACTCATTCTTTATTCACTAAACAACACTCCAGACTGATGGCTTCAAGTGCAACATTCATTGTCTGTTTGGGGTCCAACAACCTGATACAGAGGGGAACCATCCGTATAAATTGGTCACACTCATTTCACCAACTAATATTGCAAAAGAGGAGGATGGATCATCACTGAATGATTAAGATAAAGTTAGGTAAAGACCAAAAAGACAACTCCAGAAGTGTGTTTCTTACAGTTTTAAGTCAGTGTTAATTATCTGCCTTGAAATAATTCCCTGAAATTCCTTCCATAATCCCCAGTGGAATATTTCACCAAGGTGTGGTATTTCTAAATGGAATAAGCAATCACTGGAGGCACTGGGAGATGAGGAGCCAGAGACATATTGGTTAGGTGGCATGTGAGATGACCTTTCAGTTCATCTAAGATGAAACGAGGCTCCTGAACCCGAAATGATTCAGAGTGTCTAAACTGACAGGCGAGGGCACGGCCACGGCAGAGCGTCAGCCTCCTGCCCGGCCTCTATAGGCATCTCTCATGATTTATTGTGAAATTGCCATGGACTCAATGTGGCGTGCAGGTGAATGAGTTTTGCTAATAAGAGAAGCATTTCTGCTCCACAGAGCTCTTTTTCTGTCTGAGCGAGCGTGTATGAAATCAGTGTGCAGTCTCCCAGTACCACACGCTCTGGTGGAGGCGGCTGGCTCATCAGTCTGCAGCTTATCTGATGTTTTAGGTGGGTGGAGAGGTTGGGAGTGAGGAGAGAGAGAAGGGAAAAAAGTGTCAATATTGAGTCAATATTGAGTTCTTGAAGGTACCTTTAGATATTCTTCAGGAAGTGGACTTGTAGTAAGACCATGCTGTACTGGCAAAATCCTGCTAAAAAGAATAAATATTTAACATAAATACAATTTCTTTTGACAGCTTGACGTGGGAATATAGACTAGCAATAATGAATTAAAATATAATGCAGAACTAAAGCACTAATGTAGTTTGTTTGTCATGTTGGTGTGTATATGGAGGAGGCACGTGGAGCAAAGGGGTGTGAGCTGCAGTAAGAGGCAAAGATCAGTGGCTGTGCTTTGATTTGTAACAAATTAGGTTCAGAAAAACGCTTACTTGAGCCAGCTGATAATCCCTTATTATATGGCTTGACCCTGCAGGCTTCAGAGGAGGACACCTTGCGCTGGCCACTTTGGTAAATTGCACGTAAAGAGACTTAGCTTGCCTTTGCCCCTGCTGAAGAGCAGTTTCTCCAAATCCTCATCCAGCAAAAATGTAAATCATTCCCAGAGTATCAAAGGGCACTGTCCACCTTTTTGTTCTTTCATTCTTGATTGTTTTCTTCCTTCTTTTATAAACTGCAAAGCCTTAGTGATGCCGCAATATACTACTGCAAATGTCTAAAAAAGGTCAAGTGAACAACCGGATTGTAAGAGGCTACCATATGGCAGTGATGCGCAAAGTGAATCCTAAGAATAATATGCTTACCTTCATTACAGTGAGGTTTTTTCCAGAGCCTTAAAAATTGTTTAAGAAGATGTTTACAAGAGAGAAAGACAGAAATACTAAGGATGAGTATAGCAACAAGACAAGCATAGAAGTCATCTGCTTTATTTACTTATGTCAAACAATAATACATAAGAGAGGAGAGGTTAAATGAAAACCAACCATCTACATTTAAATAAAGAAATTTCAGTCCTGAGATTGACAAAAAGCAGGGAACAGACAAAATATCTACTGTGGTCGTTGGGATGGAGGCGGGACAGTGGCAGTTTCAGCAAATTGAAGATGATGGTTGTGGGAAGATTAGGGGGAGATTGCAGAATTGGAGAGGGGGTAGAGGGTAAGCAATCACTAGGATGCTTGGCTGTAGGCACATTCAAAAGTTGAAAACCCCACGACTAAAGGATTTTACAGCTTTTTTATATTCAGACTTCTTATTTCGAAATCTAAGACTCATATATTATCATTTTCAAGAAAAGCAAGGTATTCTTTACATTTTTTCATCCTGAGGAGACAAAATCATTTTTAACATAAATACAACACTGCAGGGAGAACAATAAGAGAGATGCTTTATAGATTTCCCATTTCCATATATATGATTTTCTCAAGGTTGCGGCACCCTCAGACTTTGGCAGCGTTGGTGCATTTTGAGATCATTTGGGAAAAACAGCCCTGTTCGTCCACAGGAACATTCTGAGAGCCACACAAACAGTAAAAGGAAACAGGAAGAAAAAAAGCAAAATCCCCAGACTTTTGTGTTTAGACTGGATACAGCAATATACCCACCACATAAACTAGATGAATATTTGGAGGCCATAAGCTTTTTCAGCTGAACATACATGGTTGTGATGCTGAAGAAATAAAAAAGCTGCAAGCTCCTGGAATTACAACCTGCTGTATTGCCTTTTAGAGAAGGGCTCCGGGTGCCTTTGGAAAAAGATCCTGATTTACTTTGTGATCTGTGCTGATTTTTCCCTTTGTGTTGTATTTAATAAACGCTTGAAACAACATTTAAATTGTATGGTGCTCACTTGCAACCCACCCAGTTTCATTTAGCACCACTAAAGAGATGGTAATGTGCTCTAACTTTGTGGAAAACACAGCAAATCTTATTGTGATCTTGTGCAATACAGCTATAAGGCTGGCAGGTTAACTATGCAAGCCTCCTCAGGACCATCTGTATTATTGATTAAAGTATTCTCTTGCTAGGTAGCAGCCAAATGGAGAGGACTGGCCTCATGACTTTATCTTCTGCAGACATTAAGGAGGGATGCTGGGAAGGACTCTGAGATGAGAGCCCCAGGGGCCCAAGGGCAGCCAGGGGACATGACTAAGGTTGACCAAAGCAGTGTGGAGGGGACATCAGCCCCCCACAAACCCCCCTCTGTCATCTGTAGGTTAGAGAAGCAGCGCCAAGACTCTACAGAGCGAGCAGCTGCCTTTATTTTCCCTATCCCTCCCTACCCTCCCATCCCCTCTGTTGTGAGAGTAAAAGAGCTGACCCTGCTTTGAACGTGTCCGTCCGCTCCCCTTCTCAGCACTATTTAAGGTGCATAATATGCAACTAGACCTTTGTACTGGGTAAAGGTCTTCATGGACTTATTGGGATTTACTAAGGGATTTTTACAACCAGTATAAGTCAATTCCCCTCTACTTTGCCCTCAGGCCACCCTCGTGAGCGTCTCATTGCCCTTGAAAAGGTGGTAACAGTCAATAGTCTATAGCTACAGAGATATAGATCTAAATGTCCTCATTCAGATGGTGTTTGGATGGTGTAATTCAGCATTTCCTGGGCAACATAACTTGATATATTTTCCCAAGCAATAAAAACTTAATTACAAATGAAGATTTCACCACTAGAATTTAGCAAATTGAGGCAAACTACGTCTTTCACTGAGGAATGTGATTTCCTCAGAGCTTGAATCTGAATATGAGGCCGCAGAGC